AACCTGCACTTTTTTAAACGCATCCCCCTAGGCCCAGAGGACTCGTGCTACATAAATACCTCCACTTTTCCAATCAGTTAAATTTCTAAAGTGTACAGTTGGGCACCAGACTTTCAGCTCTTTTAATCACAGAGAGTTCTCCACTCCCTGGGCTTGTCTGAACCAAAACAAGATAATCTCTGACTTGGGATGAGGCATCTTTGGAGTCATAGAACAGTTTGGGTTGGAAAGTACCTTGAAAATAACTCACATAAAAAAAAAATTACTGAAAATCGCCTTTTCAATAAAAAAACCCTCAGATTTTTGAAGCAGGGATGTTGCTGCACAGAGCTCCGGGCTTTTTTCCTCTTTAAAATACTGTATATATAAAAGAATTCCAGGATGCAAAGGGATTAGAAAGAGGGACACCATAACTTCCAGAAGATGCACAGAGGAAGGTAATTTGTAATCAAAAGCTTTGCTTTCAAAACAACCAGGATCAACACTAAATCAAGTCAGATTTCATACACACAACTTCCGCCACCTCACCAGCTGCCAGGAGAGGACACAGGTGTCCCAGCTCAGCTTTGGCCTGGAGCAGTTCTGGTGTGACCTCCATGGGAACATACTGGTCAAAATCCCCAGTAACAAGCACCGCCAGATGGATGCTGCAGCTGGTCCAGCTGTGGGAATCATGGAATTGTTTAGGCTGGAAAAGTCCTCTCAGACCATTGAGTCCAACCATTCCCCCAGCACTGCCAAGGCCACCACTAACCCATGTCCCCAAGTGCCACATCCACACAGCTTTTAAATCCCTCCAGGGATGAAGACTACACCCCTGCCCTGGGCAGCTGTGCCAGGATTGGACAACTTTTCCATGAAAAAATGTTCCCAATATCCAATCTAAGCCTCCCCTGCCACAACTTGAGGCCATTTCCTCTTCTTCTGTCCCTTCTTCCCTGGGAGCAGAGCCTGACCCCCACCTGGCTCCACTCTCCTGTCAGGGAGTTGCAGAGAGCCAGAAGGTCCCCCCTGAACCTCCTTTTCTCCAGACTGAGCACCCCCTGCTCCCTCAGGTACTCCTGGTGCTCCAGACCCTTCCCCAGCTCCATTCCCTTCTCTGGACTCACTCCAGCCTCTCAATGTCTTTCTTGTTGCGAGGGGCCCAGAACGGACCCCACGATTTGAGGTTCAAGGTTTGTCTGCATGCCGAGTCCAAGGCTGTCACAGCTCCCAGGCCTGGTGGCACCCGGGAACAGCCACACCATACCCAGAGAAGGCAGAACACGTGAGGGCTCCTGGGAACACTGTGGCTGTAAATCAGCATCAGCCTCATTTCTCACAAACGATAACAGGAAACATTCCTGTTGATCCCAGTCCTCTGTAATTTATGCATGCCATCATTCATAGTAGGATAGTGAAGACAAGGCTGTATTATGACAATTTTATGGATCATGTTCTATCTCCTACTGATACATCCCAACTGAACACATCACACGCAGCCCAGAAGCATGACCTTCAATCAAGATGTTTTCCACGAACGGAGCAGACACGAGGAATTCTGTGGGGTTTGAAGCAGTGACAGCCCCACTTGTCTGGAGCCGACAGCTCATTACCACAGCACAACAATACAGAAACAATCAACAAAATGATCTTTTGAGGTCTTTTCTCCCTCTCTGGCTTTGCAAAGCTCCCTTAGAAGGCCAGAGGAGCTTCACCCCACCAAGGGAATGACTCCTTTACATATCCATCTCATGCTTTGCTGACAGCTCTAACCAAAACCCACACGAGAGCTGATAAGATTCCTGCTGCTAAATAAAAGAGCTGTTGGAAATGTGGAAGTCGTATTAAAACTGGCATTTTGCAGGTGACTGTTCAAAAACAAGCTGGGGAACCACCAGCGGCAGAACCCCCCGATTTCAGGCAAACAAAGCTTTGTCATGGTTGTTTTATCAGGTACCAACATGCTGCATTTGGGTATTTTGGACTTGCACTAGTAATCTGTTAAAATAGAGCACTTAGTCATTGTTTTGAAACATGACCTAAGTGCCTGTGAAGGGAAAGGCTTTGCAGCCCTGTCTCACTCGTGTACGTATTTTGGTTTGTCTAGACCTGAACAAACTAAAATAAGTAGATTTTGGTGTCTGTTCGGTGGATCAAACCAGACCAGGACATTATTTCAGCGACACCTCTGCTCCCATCCCACCCTGTGTCACCTCTGGAGTGGTCACGCCATGTCCCTGCCGCTGGAGCTGGTGGCACTTGGGGCTCTCCCAGCCGGCTTCACTCCCCTCAAGACATCGGCCACTGGCCCCTCCTCACCAGGTGCCTCTTGGGAAACACTACGTGCTCAGAACTAACTAAAGGGGCAGGACCCCACTGCTGCAAGCCCAGGGTCAGTCACTGGATCACTTTCCAGGGATACAGGGAGCCCAACAAGGTGTGATCCAAGGTGGTTTCCTAGGAAGAGCTGCACACAGACCCCCAGGCTTCGATGCCTTGCTGTGTCTCACCCTGCCAGATGTTGGGAACCACACCTAATTTACACACAGAACTTAGTGTTGCACAAGCACCAAATATCCTTGGGCTTCCAGCTCCCAGGAGGGCTGGCTGGGAGCTGTTGGAGCCTGAAGAGAGGGAGGAGGCTCTAAACTCCTTGAATGCATCAGAAGTGGTAAATACTGTGGAGGAAAAACCAGTTTTGGTGATTGATTAGAGCAGTTTGATCTGATAGAAGATCAGAAGTTGGGATTTCCAGTAATTAATGAACTTTCTCCTACAGTAACTCCTTAGGACATGGCAGTAAATAGAAGATGCACTTACTCCAACAGGATGAGGTGCCTGAGTTTGTGCAGGACACTGAACTCAGCCCAAATCACTGTCTCTGATGGCAGAAGAGCTCCTTGGCCCCAGCCCAGCCAACCTGTCCATGCAGTTTTCCAGCTCCAGCATGAGCTGGGACCCCCATCCATGATGGGGGAACCCAAGGTGGATGGCCAGCAGCAGCAGCAGCCAGTAAGGCAGGGAATAAACCAGATGGAAAACTGAACTAACAGCATATAAATTCTTCAGTCTTTGAATCCCTACACACCTGAACAGAAACATTTGTCTTTTCCCTTATAAAGGCAACTATAAACATCTGTTTATCACATCTGTCCCCAGATGCCAGCACAAACAGGGCTCTCTGATCCACACTTGCCTTTGGAACAAGCAGCTTTTTTAAACTTAGCAGCGAGAAACTACTAGAAAAGATGAAGTCTGGCTTCTCTGCACAGCACAGGCCAAGGCATTTTATCTCATGAATCAGTGGTGGGTTCAGTAACCTGCTCTTGAACCAGCTCTTAAAGAGAAAAAGAAAGGAAAAAAGCCAATCCTGATAAACTTCATGTAGGTTCAGGCCTGCAAAACCAGAAAAACTGGGTTTTTTTCAGTTTGTGCCAGAGATTCCTTTGTGATAAAGGTAAAGAAGAAAGAGAATGAGGGAAACTGAAGTTTTCCAAAATTATGTTTAGTGGAATTTCTGTGGTTATTAGAAGCTGATAATTAGAGAGGCCACAAAGGCAAAGCACTGACAGGCACCAGGAGTCTGCTTCCTGAGGAATGGCTGAAGGAATTCCTTCAATCTTTTTCAAATAGCCCAACTTTATTCTCCCAAAGAAGCACAACAAATTTTCGGAGTGAGGTGACTCTGGCTATCCACGGTCCTTCCCCAAGACCCCAACAGATGGGGGGAAGGGGATGAATCCCGGGGAACTGGTCCTGCTCCGGGAAGTGGGGGTTTGGGTGGGGGATCCCCGCAGCACAGGACAGTCCTTCCCGGCCAGAGCAGGGCAACACTCCCACCCTGGAAATGGCCAAAGCAGCCAGATCCATGCAACCATCGTTAAAAGGAGCTGGCGCACAACTCGGCTGCTTTCTAGTAAAAAAAAAAAAAAAAAAAGGCAAAAAAACCCCAAACCCCAGGACTGCCCCAAACCCGCTCTCCTCCATTTTCCTTCCTCCATCCCTCAGGGAAAGCTCCCGCCCGGAGGCAGCGAGAGGCAGCCCCCCATCGCAGGGCTATGTCCCAATTCACATCCCTGCCTCCGGGAATGCTCAGGGATAAACACAATCTGGGCTTTAAAGTTCCCGGCGCGGAGGTTCGCGTGCGGAGCCTGGGGGTGGCCCGGGAACGAAGCTCCGGTGGGGGGACGGAGCTCGGGGGTGTCGGGGGTGGAAGGGAGGGATAAACCCCCTCCCCCAGCAGCCACGCGGGTTTTCCGCGAGCAGGAACAAACCAAGGCCAAGCTTACAAGGATTTGAGCTCCTCCGGGAAGGGGATCGAAAGGGGGATTCCCCTGGAAGAGGATCGGGGGGTGGCCGGGGGGTCCCTCTTGGAAAGGGATCAGGGAGTGAGGGGGGTGTCCCTCCTAGACCAGGATCGGAGGGCAAAGAGGGGAAACAAGCCCGGACAAAGCGCGCGTGGAGCGGCGGCGCGGGGGGACCCAGAGCCGGGAAAACCCCCACAGTCATTCCTCTTTTTCTTTTCTTTCCCCCCCCCCCCTTTTTCTCCCTCTAAATTTTTATTATTATTTTTGTTCCCCTCCTGGCAAGGGGGAGGTTTCCTCCCGCGGCCGGTTCGGAGGCCGAGGCACGGGGAGGGGCAGAGCCAAGAACGGCGGAAAAACCCTTTAAAAAATAAATTATTATTATTATTTTTGAAGACAACTTTGAAACGCGAGGCTCCCTGCGCGATCCGTCGCCATACTGAAGCTTTCCCCCTTCCCTCTTTCTTTAAGTGCGGGCTGAAACCAAGCCAAAAAAAAAAAAAAAAAAAAAAGAGAGGAACCAACACAAAAACTTTTCCCTGCCCGTCTCCCCCCGCAGCACCCGCGGGACGGGCACAAAGGGCCCCGAGCCGGGATCGCTTCGCTACAAAAGCGGGTAATGAGATCATGGGCGCGAGTCAGCGATACTGTAACAAGCACCAAACAAGAGCGGAGCGAGGAGGAGGAGGAAGGAAAGTGGCCCCCGGCACTCACCGATGAGCCCTCCCACCAGGAAGGCGATGACTTGGAACACGAGCAGGATGCCCCCGACGATGCAGAGCTTGCGGGTGCTCATGTTCTCGATGATAGCCCCGGCCATGCTGGCGGGGCGGGGGGCCCGGGGCGGGCTGTGCTGCGCTGTGCCCGGGCCGCGGGCAGCGGCAGCGGCCCCGCTCCGCCGCCCCAGCCGTGATTGTGCCGCCGCCCGCCGCCGGTGGCCCTTTAAAGGGGCTGCGGCGTCACGTGGCACCGCCGCCCCTCCCCGCGGCCTCGGCCCGCCCGGCACCGGGAACGGGAGAGGGACCGGCACCGGGAGAGCACCGGGGACGGCGGAGGGACCGCCACCGGCACCGGCAACGGGAGAGAGCGGGACCGGGATCGGGAACGGGACCGCGGGGACCGCCGCTCTCAGAGCCGGGAACGGCCCCGCCGGGGGAGCTCAGAGATCTCACAGTGCCACCCCTGCCATGGGCACGGACACCTTCCACTATCCCCGTCCAACCTGGCCTTGGACACTTCCCGGGATGGGGCAGCCACAACTTCTCCGGAAATTCCATCCCAGCCCCTCACCACCCTCTCAGGGAAGAATTCCTTCCCAGTATCCCATCTAACCCTGCCCTCTGGCAGTGGGAAGCCATTCCTCCTTGTTCTGTCCCTCCAGGCCCTTGTCCCAAGTCCCTCTCCAGCTCTCTTGGAGCCCCTTTAGGCACTGGGAGGGTCTCCCCAGAACCTTCTCTTCTCCAGGCTGAACAACCCCAAAACACCATCACATTTTCTCCAATTTTCTTCCACCCTGTAGCTCTGAGCAATGCTTCATCAATCCTTCAGCATTACTGGGATTCATCCCAGTTGTTCACACCAAGCAGTTTTCTCAGTTTTGCTCCCCTCCATTCATCCCCATCTTCCAGACATGGATGCTGTGTACCCATCCCACCCTCTGGAAAATGCTGGTCTCCTGCACTGAGCTCTGTTTACTCACATGTTCCTCTACATGACCCAGAACAAGCTCACCACCCCATGCTATCACCTGGTAGCAACAGGACAAGGGAAAATGGTTTTAAACTGAAGAAGGCTCCATCTAGATTAGATATAAGGGAGTTTTTTACAGTGAGGGTGGTGAGGCCCTGGCACAGGTTGCCCAGAGAAGCTGTGGCTGCCCTGTCCCTGGAAGTGTCCAAGGCCAGGTTGGACGGGGCTTGGAGCAACCTGGGCTAGTGGAAGGTGTCCCTGCTCATGGCAGGGGGTGGAATGGGATGAGCTTTGAGGTCCCTTTCAACCCAAACCATTCTGTGATTCTATGGGTTTTAGCATGAATGCCTTCCAGCAATTTACTGGATACCACAAACACCTATGTTACACTTTACAGTTACATGTGGAATGATGGATGCAGAATATCATCCTGTATGACTGAAACTAGATGGGGAGTTGACAAAAACACTCCTTGAGGACAAATAAGCCGTGAAAGGAAACAACTGGTGACAAAAATATGGACAGGAACTATCAAAATAAAAGAGGGGTCAAATATTAAGAATCGCAAACCATTAATGAACTGAAGCAAATAACAAAAAAGTTTAGAAGAAACAAATGCAAAACCCCAACAGACATCACAGTGAGATTGGAGCAGTGTTGGCAACCCTGTGTGGTGACCCCGTAGCTGAAACTCCCAGGCTTCATGTTCAGTTTTTCCAGGACACAGAGAACTCCTGTGTGCTGACCTGCCTTGCCCAGCCTCATGGGAGCCTTGCGCTCACTCTGACACAGGCCAACAGCACCAAAAATGAACATAGGAATTCAGGAAAGAGCAGGGAAACAGAGGACACAGGGCTTGGCTTTTTGGGAAAGACCCCAACAGACCTTGACCAGTCAACACAGGAGCACTAGAACTGTCCATGCTCGGTGTTTTGTTGATAGAAGTTTGGGAATAATATAAGTTGGGATAAAGGCATCAGGGATAACTGCAGGGACGGTTTAATCTCTTAGAGTATTGCAAGTTTAATTTTTTTTTAGTTTAGTTTTAGCTTTACTTTCACATTGCAGTTCTGACTTCATTGTTAAAAATAGCTCTTAATGGCCAAGTCCTTGCAGCCATTATGAACCCGCTCGGATCAGTCACATGGACGTGCTTCCAAAAATCAAAGCCTCTTAGTGGCTTTTTGCCAATACAATTAAAGACTTAAAATACCAAATACTTTATACTGAAATAAAATTAAAAAATCCCACATGGAACAATTGCTATTATAAAGGTTTCTTTTGAAATATCTAATAATAATTTTTTGGATGCCTGTCTAACACAGTGTTGATTCTGAGTGATGATTTTTGCTATTTTCTCTGTTGGGAATGGGACAAGCTTTTGAATTATGTTTGTTCCCTCACAGTCTATAACCACTGCCGACAAGGAGAGAGTCATACAAGTCCAGGCCACTCTTTGAGGTCCCAGTTATCCAAATGCAGGGAGCTGTGTGACCCCAAACATAGAATCATGGAATGGTTTGGGTTGGAAGAGACCTTAAAACTCATTTCATTCCATGGGCAGGGATACCTTCCATTAGACCAGGTTGCTCCAAGCCCCACCCAACCCAGCTTTGAACACTTCCAGGGATGGGGCAGCCACAGCTTCTCTGGGCAACATCTTTGGAGCCACAAGTGCCACTAAATCCAATCTGCCTTAATGACTCTACAAAAGTTACACGGGGCAATATTCTGTGAAATGTCCCGTTTGTTCTAAGCAATTTATTTCTGGGACAAAAATGTAAGAGGTAGGGCTCAGATCCTGCCATCAGAAAAAAAAATCCGAAGTGAAAAAAGCAAAATAAGTAAACCACAGGAAACAATTCTTCACATTTATAAGGCACTTTCCATTTCTACTCCCTTCCTACATCTTTAATACTACAAAGTTTGGAGACATTAATCACATGTGACTTTTGACACGTGTTCAAGGGGCGTAGAGAGCACATTCCAAAGTGACCACACACAGAATGGCACCAGAGAGGAACCAACCATGCTTTCCAGCTGTTCACAAATCAGAATTCCTGTCTCTGAAAGGTCTCCAGAATCAACCGTCTGGGAACTCATCCACTTGCTGCTTCTGACATTATTTTTCCTGCCTGCTTTAGGCTGTTTGGAAAGCTCAGCTTTTAAAATAGCTGTGCCAGGGTCAGCCCCAGGCAGGAGGAGGAGCTTTCCACAGAGAACTCTTGGCAGGGCTGGGCCTAGAGCCCAGATTTTCAAAGGCCTTTTGCTGCCTAAAGCTGTGGGTAAGGGCTCAGTGGGATTTCCACAAGCTCCTAAGGTTTGGTGCTGCATGCCTGTACTACAAGTTACTGGAGAACTTTCTGAGAAAACTTTCTTTGGATGCTCAGTTTGCACACAGAACTACCTCTCAAAGTTTTGCTATTTCTTCTCCTCTTGTCCATGTCACTTGGATGGTTAACAGGAATAATTTGGGAAAAAAAAGTCAGAAATTAACGATCTTTTCCAAATACATCTGTAAAAGGATATATGGACTCTGGTTTTCAGGGTGTTGCTTGATGCTACAACTGCAGGTTCTTGTTTGGTTTGGGATACACCTGAAACATTACAAAATTCCTCATAATAGTGAATAAGGTGCAGTTTAAAAATTATTGAAAGTGTTCAAAAGCCCTGTTTATTTCTCAGTATTAACTGCTTTTAAAGGTAAATTCCTAGTTCTGTTCTCCTGCAAATACTGATAACACAGAAAATGTTCTCACCGAGCAGGAAAAGGGCGTTTTTTGTTATTTCCAGCACACGGATGGTGAAGAACATTTTCTCTTTGTAAGAAAAGCCTTTTCCATGGTTTATTAAGGTACCCAAATGTAAAACTTAGTGCAAACAGATCAAAACCAGTGTGTGGTTTTTTTGGTGAGGGGGCAGAGATATACAACTTGTAAGTGCCCACTGTGGTTGGGATTAGGAAGAAAATCGACAGGAATGCAGTGTTTCATCTCAAGCAGCCCCACTCCAGACTGCAAATATTGTGAGTGATTTCCAAGCCTCATTGTAGTTCAAGGCAAACATTAATTCACTGATTAGGAACCAGGAAAGCTAAATTTTGCCACTGTTCCTACATCTGGGAACTCAGAGCTAGACTTAATATTTCATAGAATCACAGAATTCTTCAGGTTGGAAAAGCCCTCCCAGCCCATCGAGTCCAACCTGTGCCTGATCCCCACCTTGTCACCCAGCCCAGAGCACTGAGTGCCACGTCCAGTCATTCCTTGGACACCTCCAGGGGTGGGGACTCCACCACCTCCCTGGGCAGCCCCTCCAGTGCCTGAACACCCTTTCCAGGAAGAAATTCTTCCTGAAGTCCAATCTGAACCTCCCCAGGTGCAGCTTGAGGCCATGTCCTCTTGTCCTGTCACTTGTTACCCAACATGAGACCTTTTACTGAAGTGCCACACATCCTGCAAGGTCTGAGATTTCATGCTGCTCTTCAGGCATTAAATATGCAGCCCAAAGCTCCATCTCTGCCAGGAGTCACAGACTCCTCACATAATTTCTTTGATAACAGTATGGCAAGAAAGAAAAGAACACTTTGTAAGGGAACTACCCAGCCACCCTGATTTTAATCATAGAATCACAGACTGCTTTGGGTTAGAAGTGACCTTAAAGATCATCTCATTCCAGCCCCCTGCCATAGGCAGGGAACTTTCCACTAGAATCTGAATCTTTAATCTTAAAGCACACAATGACCACAAACAGTTGAGAACAGAAGACCTACACAGAACTCCCCAAACGCACACCTCCCCGTCATTCTGCACTTACTGGACTCCTCAGCAGAACTGGGAGGGTGACACTGTCCAGCTTAGGTCCTTCAGAGCCACTGTCTCCACTCCACAGTCCCTGTCCTGGACTTCCTCAGTGAGGAACTGGGCAAGCAAAGCCACAGCAGGTGTGGACCAGCATCTAAAAAACATTGAAAAAACAGTCTCTGACAACTCTTCTGATGGCTTTTCTCTGATATGCTTTCCATCAGATGACAAAGCTTTTCTCACATAAGGATGAAGCTTCAGTAGAGTCATAGAATGGTTTAGTTGGAAAGGACCTGTGAGACCATCGACTCCAACCATTCCCCCAGCACTGCCAAGGCCACCACTAACCCATGTCCCAAAGTGCCACATCTACAAATA